GATCAGGATAATGATTTAATAGGGTGCTGTTGCTGCTCAGGAACCCAAAGAGGTAAAACTTGAAGCAAGATGAAACCCTCCCTCTTTCCGTGAAGCTGTGTGTTGACTTTGACACTTGCCTTTTTATTTATTTCAGGTAATCGTTGTGTGAAAGGAGAAGAGCTGAGCTTGAAGGGGGAGACAGTGAATGACTGTCATGCAGAAATCATTTCTCGAAGAGGCTTTGTGAGGTGAGACAAGGGGAAACCTGAAGGAGAAGGAAAGGGGCCTGCCAAGAGGTGCTGACCCATTCTAGAGGGGTGTAGCTGTGATGGTTCCTTGCAGCGTTGAGAAAGGCTGTGATCCTCTAACGCTACTGTTTACCCATGTGTTGTTAAATAGAGGGAAGTTATTTCTGATAAGAAAGGGCCATGCCTGAATGGTGCCCAAATTAGTACCGAACTGGAAACTTGCCAAGAGCCCAAGGGCTGCATCTGATGTACTTAAAATAAAGCATCCTGCAGAGGCTGCTTGGCCAACACGCAACGCGCTGTTTCAGTCTGAGCACAGCTCTGAGCCAAGGTGCTGGGGAATCTGCAGGCCGGGTCCCCGTGTGGCTTTTCTGGGTCTGGGTGTCGAAGGCTTCAGGAAAACATATCGAATGTGTTTGCATTGATAAGTCAGAAATCCTTTTCCATTGATTGGAAAGGGTTTTCCCAACTAAACTGCACAGTTGTTCTCTTCTCTTTGTAAACACGCAGTGTGGTGCTTTTTTTTTTTAAAAAAAACTAAAGTGAGATTAAGTTGGACTAGCCTTGTTAATGTCTGCCCTTCCAGTTATGAACAGCAAAGCCAGCTGCTTTCTTAAAGCCTTTGCCTGCTGCCGCTATACTCTGTGCATTCCTCGGCACTGGAAAGTGTTGAGGGGGGGTCCCCGGCAAGCTGTAAAGTCAGAGGATTGCGCTCTTGCTTACTGTCTGTCTCGGCTGTTAATCTCGACAGCCGTGGCTGCTCTGGCACAGCGGAGCCTGTCAGAGATGAGAACAGTGGGCTCCACCTCTCCTTGCAAAATAAGTCCCTGCACAGGCTCTGCTTGAGGAGTCTCTGTGAAGCTGCAGTTTTTCTTTAGTCCTTGACGCTGTGCTGGAGACCTCAAGGTTTCTCCCTGTCCCCGGACAGAAGCAGCCATAAAAGACCCAGTCATTGTAAACAGATCGTGGGGTTGTGCTAATAATATCACTTGCATTCAGCTGCCCGTGGGGCTGTTTGCTCTTAATGCAAACTTGGTGCTGACTAAAGGTGCTAGGCTAACAACCTTGAAGTCTTCTTCGCACTTGGATCAGATGCATGCAAGCAGCAGCCAGCCAGGCTCCTTTCTCTCTCCTGCCGGTGCTCCCCTCTGCTCACCCGACAGAATGCTTATTTTCTGTTGCCTGTCCGCTGCGTGGTAGGAACTCTGCTTTATTTCATGCCTTTTCTGTAGCATCAAACGCTATTTGTTGGCTTCCACGTATTCTCAGCCACGCTCCTGGTCTTCGCTCTCCCACGCGGCAGGACCAGGAGCGGGTGACTTGGTGCGACAGAGGCAGAGCTTGGGACCCTGCCCGTCCTGGGTACAGGCAGTGGATGGATTGAAGTGCTCCTTGTCTGAGGAGCAAAGCAGTCTTTTGACATGGTGTTTTATTTTCAGGTTTCTCTACAGTGAGTTGATGAAGTATGACCCATCTAATCCCTCCTCTGCAGAAGAGAGCATTTTTGAGCCAGCGGGAGGGAAGAGACTCAAAATTAAGAGCAGCGTTACCTTTCACCTCTATGTCAGGTTTGTGCGGCGTTGTGCAGGGAGTGACCGGTGTCGGCAGCACTATCGCACCCCGGGCCCTGGCTGTTTCCTGAGAGTCAGTGCTAACCTGGGGAGTGTTTGTTTTCTAGCACAGCACCTTGTGGAGACGGGGCGCTCTTCGATAAATCCTGCAGCGATCAGGCGAGCGTGGTGGGGCAAGCCCAGCATCAGCCTCTCTTTGAGAACCCCAAGCAAGGCAAGCTGCGGACCAAGGTGGAGAACGGTGAGTGTGTTCGCTCCCTGCACGGTGGGGTGGCTCCAGTCCGCTCCTCTAAGCCTTTCTGGAGCTCCAGAGTTTCCTTACCCCTCTCTGTGTGGTGCTGTTGTGGGATTTGAAGCATTCAGGAACAAAAGGGGGGTGGGTAAAGGGGATGGGGGCGTTAAAGGGAGTCCCTTCTCCTTCCGCACTCTGTCTGTTGGACTGCCACACTAGCAAGAGGACAGCTGAAGTTTGCTGCAAAGCTTTGATGTCTCTGACCTCCCCGTCAAGCACTATTTCATTCTGCTTCAGCCATGTGAAAAATGACTCATCTGTAATCAGTACTGAGTTCCCTTTTTCATGTGATACTAAAATGTTCCCCGAACCTGGAGACAGGCTGACTCCAGAGGTCACTCCATGCCTGTGCATAGAAGATAGTTTCTTGTGCAGTTGCTGATGGGGTTTTGATTTATTGAATATCTGACTCTTTACAGATTTCTTCTTCTCTTGTGCAGGGGAAGGTACCATTCCTGTGGAGTCGAGTGACATTGTGCCCACGTGGGATGGCATCCAGCACGGGGAGCGGTTGCGAACCATGTCCTGCAGCGACAAAATCTTACGCTGGAATATACTTGGCTTGCAAGGGGCATTGCTGTCACACTTCATAGAACCGGTTTATCTCAGCTCTGTTACACTCGGTATGAGACCTTCCGTCCTGTCTGGGTTGGGACAGATGCGCTGCCCCGCTCCTTAGAACTGGGCTGCAGCGACAAGTAACCTCCCTTCCCCAAGCGATGGAAAAGCTCGTTTGTGGAGCCTGTGGGAGTAACAGACTGAAACGTCATTCTCGGCAGAGCTGTGCTGTTTGGAAGTGAAAAGGGAGTTTGTGGATTTTACGCTGTGGGTGGAGTGGGTTTTTCTCCAAGGTTCTTGGTTTTTAGAAGGCACATGTGATCTAGGAGGGTGAGACAAAAATTGCCTGTTTGTGTCTTCAGTGAGAAATGTTAGTGCCTGTAAACCTTCATCTTACACATCTAGGGTACACGTAGCTGTTGCTGATCCACATGGCCGCGAGCTTTCTAGAGCTTGTCAGAACCGCTGTGGTTCTCAGGGTTTGGCCCGTCCATCACCTGTGCTGTTCCTGTTTCCTAATGCCTTCATGTCTGCCTTCACAGGTTACTTGTACAGTCAGGGTCATTTAACACGCGCAATCTGCTGCCGCGTGGCAAGAGATGGGAATGTGCTGCAGGAAAAGCTCCAGGCTCCGTATCACATTAACCATCCTGAGGTACTGCGGCCTTGGCGCCTCTTTGTCTTTCCGTCCCCCCTTCCACCTCCACCCTTGGGTTTGGGCCTCACTCTGCAGGGCGGTCACTTGGCAGAAGCTCTCCAACCAGGGTCAGGAGGCTGATGGCCAGAAACCTGCCCCCTTTGGGTCATCCCACAGTGTCGGGGGGTTACTGGCAGTGACTTGGTCTGGGAAAAAGGAGACCAAGGTCGCCCCGGTAGCCTTCAGCGTAGTAAGAAGCTGGTGCTTAAGAGTAAGGAGTAAGAACTCCTTACTCAGGAGTAAGAACTCCTGCTCTCAGGAGTTTGGGATGAGCTGAACCCCTGCATCCAGGGGACGGAAACTCTTTGGGTTTCACGTGTCCCAGATAAGATCAGACGTAGTGTGACTGCCTCTCAAAAGGAACAGCAGCAGCAGTGAGGCACCTTGAGTGTTTTAACACGCAAAGCACCAAGCATTTAGGGTGGAAAGTAAACACTAGCCTCCGCCGCAGGCGAGCGTGGGGTGGTGAGTGCCGTGTGCCCAGTCCCCTGGCAAGAGGCTCCCCTCACCAGCCAGCTTGCGCAGCAGGACCGGTGTTACGAAACCCTCTTACCTCTTACGCAGGTTGGGCGAGTCAGCGTGTACGACTCCGCAAGGCAGACGGGCAAGACAAAGGAGTCTTCGGTGAATTGGTGTCTTGCTGACGAAAGCGAAGTTGAAGTCTTGGATGGCACAAAAGGGAAAGTAGATGGGTAAGAAGAGCCTTTCCTGACGCTGCTTTTCTGTTTGGGGAAAAGGGGGGCAGCTCTGAAGTCGTGAGTACACTCTGCGCTGTTACAGCACCTTACGCGTGGGGAGGGTTGGTGAGAGGAAATTTCAAACTGACGTAAGCGAATGCTCTTGAAGCAAAACAACATACTGCCCAGCCCAGACCCTACAGCAGAGCCTCACTGAGCCAAGAGATCTCGCAGGCATCCCATTGTGGGTTTTTCCCTGTGCCCCCTGCTCCTCTCTGCTCTTCTGAGTGTCATGTCCTTCATTGCTGCCTTTGTCTCCCTTCTCAGACCGAAGCTGGAGGTCTCTCGTGTGTCCAAGAGGAAAATGTTCGCCCTGTTCCAGCAGTTATGTGCCAAGAACAACTGCAAAGACCTGCAGAACCTCTCGGTGTACTCAGATGCTAAGGAGGCAGCCACGCCGTACCAAGAAGCCAAGCAGTGCTTCTTCAGCATGCTGGAAGAGATGGGCTACGGCAGCTGGATCCGCAAACCCCAAGAGGAAGATAATTTCTCTTTTCCTGATGCATAATGAGACACCCTGTGTGTGGGGGGGGGTGAGTGCACAGGTGTGTGCATGGGTCCTTCTTTCACCACCTTCTTTTTGAAGTGGAATCGGGAGCGTGCAGCAGTTTCCCCTGTAGGCCTGGCCGCCTTCTCTCTCTGCTCTTGTTACTCTGAGACCCTGCCCTTTCTCTTTTTAAAACGTGCATGAAAATTACTGTCTTTTTTTGAAGCTAGGGCGGGCTCAGTCCCTGTTTGCTTTTACGTTTTCGTCTCCTTTTTTTAAAAGAAGGCACAAGAAGCCAGAGGGATTCTCGGACTGCGAGCTCGAAACCTTTGGACTCTGCACTACAGATCCCTCTGGCAGGTTTTGAGGCAAATTTTTCTCTTTTGAGAGGAAAAAAAAAAAAAAAACAAACAAACAGCTGGCTGGTTTTATGTGTCTCTGTCGGAAGGTGGCTGGCAGCCCGTCTGAGCTGGGACACGGGACTGATCTCTGCAAGACAGCCGGCAGGACCAGCATAACATTCCGCGTTAATAATAAAAAAGAAAATTTCTGTATTACAGCGGGCTCCGTGCCGCGGGTGTGTGAATTCCTGCAGGGTGAAAGAGGGGCCCTGGGTAGAGCTGGGTGGGGTTTGGAGAAGAGCGGCGGTAAGTTCCTGTTTGTTAAATGATGGAAGGATCTTGTGCACAACTGTGACAGTTGTGAATTAAGCCCCTTGCCTTAAGCAGGGGCTCATCGGGCAGAATTGAGCCCTCAGAGGGCTTGAGTGTACCCTGAAGTGACGGGGCAGGGTTCTCCTGCCTCCTTCCCCCCACCTCTGTCTCTCTAGGGGGTATCTCCTCTCCAGTCTTGGAAGGTCTCTGCAGAGGCTGGTGGTGGCTGCAGGCCACGTTGCCTGTCTGCTTATGTCTGAGCTCAACCACGCGCCAGACACGCTTGTAGAAGGTGAGAAGTAAGGACGCTGTTCCCATCCGACGGCAAGTTTATTAGATGTTGTAGAGCAGCCCCTTTCCCGATGCACAGCTTGTGCTGGCTTTTGCCTGGGACGGGACAGTGGACACCAGTGAGATCAGACAAAGGGACCACGGAGCAGTTAGCGTGGAAGCGGAGCCCAAACCGAAGAGAAGTCCCAACGCTGTGGGGAGCAAGGCCCCGGCTCTGGCTGCGCCTCCGGCTTGTGCATCTTTCCCTGCGCAGCAGGAAAGGATGCCGGTGGGCGGACCTGCTGTGGCCAAGCAGGTTAAATGCTTGCTGAAGGGCTGGCTGTCGTGGGCTCACCCTGCCCACAGCTGCTGGACGGTGCTCGGATGCTGACTGCAGCGCAGAGCCGTGAAGGGTGGCAACAGCCTCGGCATCCCGCTCTCCCCTGCGCGCGGAGCAGGGCCCTCCTGGCAGCGACGGCACGAGGACAGAGCTGGGGGCTCCTCCCTCTGCCGACTGCTCGGGGTGCTGTGCCTGGGGCTATAGGGGTTCCTGCCGTGCTCCCTGCGCCCTCCTGCTCTCCCGGGACTCGTGGGTCTCTGCTCCCTGCCAGGCCGCAGCGGGCCCCCCCGGTCCTGCACTTGCCCAGGGCTGCAGCCAACAGCAGAGGGGATGCAGAGGTGGGACAAGCCCCTGGCACGGGGCCGGCAGGATGCTGCTTTAGGGGCAAAGCTCTTAACACTTAAGTATTGGGGTGCACCCCTGAGAGGAGGGGGTCCGGGAGCATCAGCTGGAGCAGCCCGGGATTTCTCTGGCTGGGTGAAGTGCTGGGATTTCAATTAATTTCTGGCGTGCGGCTTCCCCCCCGGCACTGTGTGCCGTGGGCCCCCCCCGGCCTGTGCCGCGCTCCCCCCCAGCCTGGAGGATTAGTGGTATTTATAGCAAATGCTCCGCTTCAATTCTCCCCGATGAGGCCAATTCCTGCCTGCGAGGG